TGCCATGACTCAACCTCCAGACAATTCCACCTGGATGACTGAGAATCTTCATAAACATAAATACTTGCATGTGTGTTCTTTAAAATGTTGTGAAGCTTCACAAAATGAATGTGTGTGTATTTTGAACCACATTAATAGATGAAAGCACAGATTGGTAGGATGGAAATAAAGGCAGTTTCTAGCAGCAATAACCAATATTGGGAACATGATCTTAAGCCTATTTCATAATAAAATGTAGAGAAAATAAGTTATCCTAATGCTTAATTGAGATAATAATGTAGATTTATGTGCATATTCCTTCCTTTTTATTTTGAAAGGAAGAAATCCTAAACTTGCTTATTCAGATATTTTTGACGGTGCTAGTCCATAGCATGTTAATATAGCTGTAGGTTTTGTAGTACTAAGAAATGAGGAAAGAGCGCTTCAGTTTTCTTTATGCAAAATGTTGGAAACTGGAAAACATGTATAAAGAATAACAAATTTGATTTTATTTAAATTTTGCAAAGGTGGGCCTTGGGGAAACATTGTTAGAAGCAGAAAATATTGAAGATCAAGAATCGCCAGTTAATTGCTTTAGAAAATTATTTGGTAAGGATATAATTTCGTTCCAAAACTAAAAAGCAAGATATTGCACTGTTTTACACATTGAAGGTTGTGATAATTTTAGTTGTGAAATCTTTAAAATCTTTGCTTGTATATAATGTTGCTTGAGTTGTATGAGTAAATTAACACATCTGAGTCCCCTGATTGTCTTTTCCTTTTGTTTGTCAACTGACAGTGCAATTAGAAAAATAAATAGGACAGGAACATGATGAAAATTATTTAAATATTTTTTAAAATATTTTTTATTTATTATTAAATTTATATGCCACCCATCTCCCCCAGAGGAAGATTTAGAATCACATTGGTGAAATGGGGAATAATAAGGGCACTTTAATTAATTTTTTTTGAAGCTCCTTTATCCTTTTTTTATTATGAGCTCTTTGGGAACAGGGAATAATGATCCTGACATGTTTGTGCAGCAGAATCATAGTAAAAAAACCATTATGTTGAAAGAAACTCTACAGGTAGTCCTTGATCTGTGACCATTCATTCAGTGATCGTTCGAAGTTATGATAGCGCTGAATGAATGGTGGTTATGACCAGTCCTTGGACTTCTGACCATCTCAGCACCCCAGCGGTCATGTGATCACAATCTGGGCACTTGGCAATTGGTTCACACTTAACAACCAGTGGCAGTGCCCCGCGATCATGTGATCGCCATGTGCAACATTCCCTGCTGGCTTCCTGAGAAAGTCAATGGGGAAGCCAGCAGGAAAGGTTGCAAGTTGCTGTGGTAAGTGTTCCCCACCCGCACACCCTCCTCCAGTCCTTCTGCACTCACACTGTGCTGCCCTCTCACCCACCCACTGGTAGGAAGTTTAATAAATCCTCACTTAACAACAGTGGGATTTGGTTAACGATGGCAACCAGGACTGCAGGGACTGCTGTTGCTATGCAATAAAAATTCCAGTCCCAATTGCTGTCATAAGCCAAGGACTACCTGTAATATTAAAAATGCAGTTGATTTATTGATTTATTTAATTTGTATACCACTCAACTCCCAGTGACTCTGGGCAGTTATTCCAAACATAAGTGAATTAATTACATCTTTAAATGTTTACATTGTGGTAAAGTAATGCAGTATTTTTTGTATATCCATTTTTGCAGAAAAATCAGTTCTGAAGAACCATTTTCTTCTGCCTGAGCAAGAGAGAGTGTCTGTTTGCTGCTTAATTTAAATAAGCTATTAATTTTAGCTGTTGTTAGCAGGACGTTATTGTAAATGAATCTCAAATAGCTTGTCACTAAATGCTTTCTGCTTAAAGAATATAAATATTGCTTTGTTAAATAATGACATGTTGCAGGTAACTGACAAATTAAATTTGATTTCATTATCATTTTTAGTTTGTGATGTTCTGCCCTTAATAATTAACAACCCTGATGTACGGCTTCCTGCCAGTCTGTTATACAAGTATCTGAATAAAGCTGCAGAATTTTATATTAATTATGTGACTAGATCTTCACCGACAGAAAACCAGTATCCAGGTAAAAGTGCTAGAGCAAATTGCACTAACAAATTAGAAATGGAAAACTAGAGAGATTAATGTATTTCAAAACAGTGGCTGGGTTCACACATCATGTGAATATTATTCAAGAATCTTAAACCAAGGTTAATGAAACAGAATTGCCATGTTCACATAATACAGGTAGGCAGAGCGTAGGGTGGTGGGGGCGGCTGGGGCTTTGCACTGTGGCATTGGGATGTCTGGCTGCAGCGTGGGACTTGAGGTGGCACTCCTTGGTGGCAGTGGGGGCGGTGGGGCTGAAGTGGAGGCCTGGGGGCAGCGGCAGCTGGCTGAGACTGCTCAAGGCCCCAGGCCTCTACTTCAGCCCCAGTGCAACTGGGGAGTGCTGCTGTGCAGGGTGGCCAAAAGGGCAAAGATGGGAGTTGAAGCACCCCTCCAGTCATAAGTGCAGGCAGGCTGCCAAGATCCAGGATTTTGATCACATGACTGCAGGGGCACTGCAATTGCTGTAACTTTGGGGATTGGGTGTAAGTACCATTTATTCAATGCCACTGTAACTTCGAACAGTCGCTGAATGAATGGTCATAAACCAAGGACTACCTGTATGCCACTCTCAAAGAAACAAACTATATTTTGGGTTATCATTATGATACCTTTTCCACAGCATGCTAAGATAATGTCTAGGATTCTACAGGATCTGAACCTCAAGTTAAGTTCACTTCCTGGTGATTCCATGGCAGCAGTGTGAAAGTGATTTATCATTGCTTTCTTCTAAGATGCTTTTTCTTTTTCCCATAGTTCTGATATTCCCTGGACAATTCCCATCCAAGAACTAACCAAGTCCAATCCTGCTTAGCTTCCAAGCCAACACAAGGCTGACTAAGTGACATACTAAGTTACTACTCAGTATGCTATACAGCATTAATTTTAACCTTACCTTCCATGTTGTGTGATCCTAGCCAATATGTAGCATCTTGTAAGGGAGAATGTATGTTTTGGGACTTTATCAACGGGTTCATTTGTATATAATGATTACCATTTCATTTCTCTCATCTCTGTCCTGTCTACTTCATCATCCTCAAATTTTGTGATAGAGTGGAAATTTGGATGATGTCAGTTCTTAGTGTGTTTTAGGATTTAAAGTCTTCAGTAGCCTATTTGGTAGTTTATTTTTTAGTGTTTCTTCCCTCCCACCCTCAAGTATTAGAACTGAAAACTATAATTATAAAGGGCAATAAGAAAATCTGCATTCTTTTGAAAAATTATCACTGTTCTCTAAACCAAAATAAGATTCAGGACAATGCGGTCAAACAATATAAAAGGAAAGCATTAGATCCTTTTTGAGATATTCAGAAGAAAATTGATCTAAAACCCCTAGATTTTTATTATTTGGTGTATATTTATGTACAAAGAAGGGAATTCCTGCTTCAAGAAGATTGTAATTTAAACATAACAGAGGTGATAGCAAAGGAAAGGACAAGAAATTGAGGAAATAAAGAAATGAAAAATAATTGTATTGTGTTTTATATGTACTTTGTCCTGCCTATATAGTAAGAGGTTTTATAGTGGACAATTCAAATCATGAGTGACAGAAAGGGAAAAAGAACAGAATGTCTTTGAAGATCAGATCTCTTAGGGGCAGCAGAGATTAACAGAGCTAGATTAATGAAAATCACAGTCAAGGATATGTTAGAATGTATGTGGAGAAATCAGACCTTTATGGATTACAAAGATTAAAGATAAAAATGTTTATGGGATTTAGTGGTTGTTTTCTTCTTGATGTTTGTCCTGATATTGGGCCAATATTTGGTCTTAACATTGCTGCACATCATTATGTGTTTCTTATAAATATACATTGCAGGAGAGAGAACCAAAAGTTGTGTTCGATGTTAGATTAATTTTTGATAATAAATTAAACTACTGTTTCTGTTCATTTCTAGGAACACAGGACACATCTGATCTTGTGTCCCCTAACAAACGAAGTGCTCAGAAATATATAATTGAAGGTCTGACTGAGAAATCATCTCAGATTACAGATCCTTGGGAAAGGATATTCAAAATACTGTCCATAGTAGGTGTGAGATGTGAATGGCAGATGGATGTGGCAAGAAGGTTTGATAAATTATTAATTTCTTAAGATATACTTAATTAACTGATGAATTTTGACCTGATTTGTCTTGGCAGAACAATATATAAAAAGAATAGCACATTTTTTCAGCCTTAAATATTCTGTAAAAGTTTGCTGGAATCATATTTTAGGGTTAGTTGAATTTAGTCCTGCTGTTACACATCCTTTCTGCAGCAAAAGCATACAGGTAGTCCTCGCTTACTGACTGCCCCATTTGAAGTTACGTCGGTGCTGAAAAAATAACTTTATGACCAATGCCTGCATTTACAACCTTTGCAGTGTCCTCAGTCACATGATCGCCATTACAGGCAGTACGCATTGTCTTGTGCCTGACTTTTCTTGTTTTCCCATCTTGCAGAGTGGAGAGATTGGAGAGGAAGGGATTATAAGAGAATAAACAGGCACACAATGGGGAATATACATTGGAAGGAATGCGGTGGTGGCAGCAGTCCCAAGCATGCTCAGAGCTGGATGCTGCCAGCGTGCTACACAAACATTCTGGTGTATTCCCCATTGTGTGCCTGGAGACAAGCAATTTCTGTAGGCAGTCTCTCCTGTGTCTGATCTGTTTTCTCCCCTGTCCCCCCCACAGAGCAGAGAGACTGGAAAGGAAGGGATTGCAAGAGAATACACTGGGTTGTTTGCATAGTGTGCTCATGGCTGCCAGTGCCAGTGCATTGCTTTTGATGTGTATTCCCCATTGTGTGCCTGCTTACTCTCTTTTAATCCCTTCCTCTCCAATGAATATAAATACAAACATTAATTCCATTCTTGTTAATTATACCAGTGCCAGGGTGAGCATTCCAGAGAGTGGTGGAGTGGTTAGGAGGCAAACAAAAGCAGAAGGTGTGCAACTGATTAGTCTTGTCAGTTTGGAGACGGAAAGCACAGTCTCAGTCGTGTGATTTCCCACGTAGTGACTGTTTCACTTAGTGACAGAGTTGCCGGTCCCAATCGTCATTAAACAAGGACTACCTATCCTGGAACCAGTTTGTTGGATTTGATTGACAGTCATATAGTAGATACCTTCAGGGGTATCTGTTCTAATGCTTAGACTTCTCTTGAGGGAACAAGAAAGCTGTATTAAAATTTTAGTAATACTAAAACTTTATACTTGTTCTTTCTGAATTTAGAAAAAAAAATGATCTAAAGCTATTCTGTAATTGTTTTCTTTATATATAGTGATTGGACTGTTTTTTTCCTCAAATCATTGCTACATATAGTTTTCTGCATGACTGCTTGGAAGTTCAGTGTGGCTTTTTGCTATAACGGAGCATATTCTGAAAATTAGAGATTTTAATAGAATTTTCTTTGAAATAAGTGTGCATGGCTTTAAAGAGAAATGTTTTGGTTCTAAGTTTAGTAACGTCAACAGATCTTAGAAATATTAGAAATAGTCCCAGCTACTTCCTCAGGTGCCTACTTTCCTGAAAAATTGTGGGCTTTAGGGTACATGGGACAAATGTAATGGTACTGGGGAGAGTGGAATCACCTCAAACTGGACAGATCTCTGCTTAAACCTGGGTGATTCTCCTCTGGTAATCTCTCATGAGAAGTGGGCAACCTTTTGATGGGCAGGAGATGCTTTTAACATTTTTGGAGAGTTGAAAACCACAATGGATGAGGTGATAATGTATAACGAGCAACACTATGTCAGGCACATAAGTGGAACTAAGACTTTGAGGGATTTTCCAATGCTCTTTTTTTCTTTTACTTTGAATGGTATTAAATTATGTTTATACTAAATGTTTGTGTGCTTCTTGACTCAAAATAGAGAGAAACTTCATCAGCTTTCAGTGCTTGTGCCCTGAGAAGCCTTTGGGGATTGCAAAAAATGTAATGGATTTTAGGACCATACTCACCTTTAGGTGGCTTACGTGAGCCATCCTTGTTTTATATTGTTCAGGAGATTCCCTAACTCCAGATAGGATTTTTGGAGAATAAAGATAAAGTAAGAGGAAAATAATTAGGACTTGGTTTTCTGTTTTTCTGTTAAATTAATTTTTAGGAATGTACTTCAGTTTATTGTAATTTATAAATTCTATTAACTGAATGTTTTTTTATCCTCAGAAGCTTTGGTGACATATTATTGAAAATGAAAGATGTCTGCAGATACATAAGTAATTATGATAATGAAGCTCATGCAAAGTACAAGACCCAAGTGGTGTATTCGACAATGCTGGTCTTCTTCAAGAATGCATTCCAGTATGTCAGCAGCATCCAGCCTTCTCTTTTTCAAGGTGTGTTGAAATGATGCGCTTCCTGTGTCCCGTTGGACATCTTTGCCAGAACTGCTTTTGTGTGCAGTCTAACTTAATAGCAGTATTGGGGTTTTGGAAAGACGTATTTGCATTGGGATCACATTCTGTTTTCTACACATACTTCATATTAGTGTACTACCTTGTTTGATTCTAGGTATGCTGCATGAATAGATGGTGAGGTAACTAAAAAAAATGAAGTCAAGCATGTGAAACCACTGTCCCCTAAATAGGTTCCCACCATTTCTCTGTTCATTCCACTGTCAAACCGCTGCTACTGCTAAAAAGTATTTTTTTAATGTTGAATTGGAATCTGCCTTTCTATAATTTAAGTTCATTGTTCTGCATTCTATATTCTGGAATGGAAGTCTTCACTTTTTATGGGTGATGTTCTTTCAGATGTTTGAAGAATGTTATCCTATTCCCCCTCTTAGTCATCTTTTCTCCAGACTAAACGTACTCCTTCACATAGGTCTTCGTTTCTTGTCCCGTGATCATGTGCATTGTCCTTTTGTGAACCTGTACCAATTTCTCTCAATTCTTTTAAAAATATTTTTAACCAAAATTGGATGCTGTATGCAAGATGGGATTTAATCAATGTAGAATTAAGTGCATTATATAATGATGGAAGATCCTTCCTCCAACAGAAAGCAGCACTCAAAAACTAATTATGACATATGAAATTATTGGAATAAAGTATCGGTCTAATTAGTGATAACTGCAATATGTATTGGCACTATCTACCTTTACTGGCAGGGAGAAAAAAAAATAAGCTTTTTCTTTCCATGTGAGCTTTGGGCATATGATCATAGTCTGTGCAAGCTCTCATAGTTCTTTTTCCCTTTTTGAGGTGAGAGCAGAAAATATTTGATTGCCAAAACTTTAGTGACTACCTTCTGTTACTGTCATAACTAACAGGGATTTGGAGTTCTTCTATGGCAGCATTCCCCAACATGGAGCCCTTTAAGTGTGTTTAAATATTTAATTAAGGAAACATGTACTATTGCTTACAGTTTGATCATAAGCATTTGTGGTATTCATCACTAAACTTAGCATGGTGAAGTATATATTTGATAAACAAATTGTAGCAGTTAGGAAAAAATAGAGTTAAATAGTGATCCCTGGCCAGATTCAGCGCCCTTCCAACAGCTATCACTGAAGGTAGATATCAAAATATTCCCCTCAATCAAAGACTATGCCCATGTGGCAGAGGAATAATTGAAACGATGGGACATGTCATCTTATATTGCCCTCTCTATGCAGATGCTCACCAGGAACTATTACCCCAGTTTCTTGATAAACACCCCGGTTGTTCTGACTCCTTCTATCTCAAGTTGCTCCTATCAGACCAATCTGATCTTATTTCATTGTCCTCAGCTAAATTCTGTTTTACAATCTGTACAATACAGTGTAACATCCCTAATCAGGCGTGAATCTCATGTCTAACTTCCTACTCTGTGACCAAATAATAATTGATCAGATACGACAAGTTAGTATAAAAATTTATTACTTTTGTAGTCTTTTATAAATTTTAGTATTATTTATACCATTTTATAGTTATTTGTTTTAGTCAGTTATAGTATTTAGATTATTTATTGTAAAATTAACTGTAACCACAAAGGATTCTTTTGTTTA